GTTTTTGAAAAATTATACACATTTTATAAAGTATATTTATATAAATATATATATATATATACATTTGTTATACGTTTTTTATGATCTTCTTAAAGGGATTTTAAAAATAAGGTGATAGATGTTAAAAAACACATCAGCGATGCTAGGTCACTTAAAAGATAAACATCAGGCCTGGCGTGGCAGCACATGCCTTTAATTCCAGCACACCGGAGGCAGAGGCAGGCGGATCTCTGTGAGTTCGAGCCCAGCCTGGTCTACATAGCGAGTTTCAGGCCAGCTGGGGCTACAGGGAGACCCTGTCTCAAAAAGACCAGAAAAAAAAAAAAAAAGATAAACATCAGACAGCACTTTGCAGCAGAAGCAAATGAATGTGTATAATTTAATTTCTCTCCTGGGGTGATGCTCTATTAAGTTATGAAATGAGGAACAGATGGTTTTAAAAACATTATATATCCTTATACTCTCTTTGAATGACAACCTTTCAGAACCCCAGGGATGTGCCTCAAATATGTGGCCCTCTGCTGCTCCATGTAATTGACCACTCCTTTCTCTGCTCATTGGGGATGTTGTTCAGATTACTGGCATTGTACCTGAAACACAGTGCTTGCTTACTTGTTTTTCTTCCCCTGTAAAAAGATGAGCTCCTGAGAGAAAGAACCAGTATCATACAACTTTTGTCCTTTTTTTTTTTTTTTTTTGTCTTTTTTTCTCCTTTTCAGAGCTGAGGACCGAACCCAGGGCCTTGCGCTTGCTAGGCAAGTGCTCTAGCGCTGAGCTAAATCCCCAACCCCAGTATCACATACTTTAAAAAATATTTACTTATTTTGATTGTGTGTGTGTACGTGATGTGTGTGCATGGGGGAGGGGAGGAGTGTGCATGCCACTGAGTGTATGTGGAGGTCAGAGGATAACTTAGTGGTGTTGGTTCTCTCCTTCCAGTTGGTTCTAGGTATCAAACTCAGGTTCCCAGGCTTGTGTCATAAATACCTTTACCCACTGAGCCTTCCCGCCTGCCCTTATATAATTCTTAATATCTCTAGCACCAAGTCCAGTGGCAACCTCAGTGTTATGGCATAAAACGAGTATGTTGAATAAGTGAATTAATCATGAGAAGATCAAAGCAGAACTTTACCTTTTACAACAGGATTTGATTCTTCGTGTCTTTGCAGTAAACATTCTTTACCACAAACCTAATGAAACAGAATCAGAAAGAAAACATGCTATATTATAAACCTGAAACTGGAGTGTATTCCTTATACGATTTACGGTATGATGGATTTTCAACATAGAGCTTCTAATTTTATAGGTTTAAAATGGGCAAAATGTCTCATAAATCCAAATCTCTGGCATCTTTTATACCACTACTTCTCTCGTGCATTAATAATACAAGGAAAATGGTATTTGTTACTAAAGAGAATTTAAAATTTTTTCCTTTTCACGCAGAACTTGCACATCTTGACAAAGATACAAAAATGTTATGCATATAACCTCACATATTTAACTTAGAAGTTGATAAAGATAGGGGCTGTGAAGTAGATGAAAATATATACAATTATATGGAAATCTACAAATAGATTTCAGAACTGTGCTTATATACAAATGTAAAAAATATTTTCTTGACCTTTGCAGAGAATTCCAAAACAAAGAAAAGTATAAACATATAATCTTTATTTCTGTTTTGAAAGGATGTGCCCATACGACCTGATGGACTAAAAGAGCCGCACTGGAACTCTGAACGCTAACCATGAGCAGTCTACAAATCACTGTGACTGAAAACGTTAGGCATTTCTAAGCTTTTGTTTCTTTATCTATAACATCACGAAGAATTTACTAAAATAGTCTGAGGAAGGAAAGAGGAACTAAAAGCATCATTGCCGGTATGCAGTGCATATAATTCAATGACGGCAGACCGTGAAATAGAGGCAATGCCAGGTATAGTGCTGTGCACCTGTGGTCCTGGGTGCTGAGGAGGCTGTAGCAGGAGGTTCTCTGATCCCAGGACTGATACCAGCCAGGTCAACATAGTAAACCTTCTATCAACAAAACAAGGTATAAAAAATAACACGCAACAGAACAGACACAAAAACATGAAATAGAGTTAAAACACAAGACCCACTTCTCTGCAGATATAAATGGCACTCTCTGAAAATGGCAAAAAAGGTAAAAACCAAAACGTGACTATGGGGCTAGAAAGATGGCTTCATGGTTAAAAATGTTTGTTGCTTTGGAAACACCCATTCTGTGCAGCTCACAACCACCTGTAACTGCAGATCTAGGGACTCTGACACCCTATCTTGCCTTTGAGAGCATCCACACACACATGTATACACACACACACACACACACACACACACACACACACACACAATTTTAAAAAATAACGACAAAAAGCAAGGGGTATGTGCAAGTGTGAAAGAAATATGCTCAAAAAACATATACAAAGAAAAGTAGCAATATGTAACTAGAATTTGGTAAGATAAACAGTAAAATCAAGCTGAAGAAAAATCATTTGTAAGGAGACTTAGTTCCATGAATTATTAGTGCAATTTTTAAACCTTGTCTCCTAAGTGCATTTATGCTGTAAACTGTAATAAGCTATGACACATCCCAGAGAAAAATATTGCTGAGCCAAAGATCTAAGAAATATACTGCAATTTTTATTTACAATAGTTTAGAATTTTTTTTGCTGAAATTCTCCAAAATCAATGATTGATACTGTCTTAGTATGAAATAAAGATGTCTTACAGAAACAATAAGAAATAGTAACCTCAGGAGCATGGATTTTAGTTGTCTTCATACATTTGCCACAGTAAAGATGAGATTGTTCACTCTTTGTCAAAGATAATTAGGAAAGAAATTTCAGGCAATGACCAAGAACTCCTATTAGCTATGGACACATTTATAATGCTATGCAACTTTGTGAAAGCATTTGACTAAGGTATAATTATTTCCCATTTATAAATATTCAAAACTGAATATAATTATTTTATAACAACTTAAAAAGCTGCAATCGAGAGTTAAATATATATGAGCATTTACTACAAAGGAATTTATCAGATTTTTGTATCAAATATAGATAAATGAAAAACTATGTGGAATGTTTATGAGACCTAAATACTTCCTTTTTAAAATTTTTATTTATTAATTTTATTTTTTATGTATATGAGTGTATTGCCTGCATGTATGTAAGTGCACCTGTATCATGCAATGCCTGGGGAAGCCAGAAGAAGGCATCAGATCCCCTGGAACTGGAGTTATGGATGGCTGTTAGCCACCATGTGGGTGCTGGGAACTCAACCTGGGTCCTTTGCAAGAGCAGCTGGTGCTCTTAACCACTAAGCCGTCTCTCCAGCCCCCTACTTTCATAGACTACTCCCGTTACAAAAAAAATTTCCTCATTTAGGTCAGGTGTGCCCCACACCTTTAATACCAAGACTTAAGGCAGAGGCAGGTGATCTCTGTGAGATTGAGGCCAGCCTGGTCTACATAGTAAGTTGCAAGCCAGTTAGGGGATCAAAAAGACTAAAAAAAAATTTTTCCCTCATTTGTTTACTGAGTCTATAAATGACTTAACAGTGAAAGTAGATTAACAGAAAATAATTCTTTGATCTTATTCATGTACAATAACTGAAACAATGTAATTTAGAATATAGAACACATTGGTGGTTGCCAGGGTTTCAATTTGTGGGGGAAGGGACCAAGGACAGCTCTAGAGAGATGGCATGAGGGATCCTTGCTGTAACAAAACAGCTTTGTGTCCTGAATGTGCTGAGTGTCTTAATCTCAGCATGTGATAAAATGGCATAGAACTGCATGTATATGAAAACATACAGGTGTACATGAGCTCCTCATACTCATCACCTGAGCAAGATATGTGGGCTTCACTTCCGTCAGTTGCATGGTGTTGGATGTATTTGTGTGAGTTGCTAGCATTGGGTGGGGAGAAATGAAGGTGCACAGGTCCTCCTGTATGTTTTTGTATTTGGTAATTCTGTGTGTCTATAATTATTTCAAAATAGAACAAAGTGAGGAATATAGAAAAGTATTCTCAAAATAGATTCTGCTAAGTCAGTCCATGTTTGGTAGATAGAATGTATTTAGTACTCAGTAAATGATACTTGGTCACCATTACCATCATACAGAAATGGTTCAAAATAACTTCTGATATGTCCATATTTTTTTTTTTGGTCTTTTTGAGACAGGGTCTCCCTGTAGCCCCAGCTGTCCTGGAACTCACTATGTAGACCAGGCTGGCCTTGAACTGATAATGTCCATATTTTTAAATGTGGGACTATAAATCTAATTTTTTGGGTGAGGTACTCAGTCTTCTCCAACTTCCGAGTTCTCTGTAGGTAACAGATACTAAGGACTGATCATCTGGATATGCTGGCGAGGGATATCACTTTGTTCTTCATTTTTATTTATTAGGCTTCTTCATTGGGTTTGTGTGTGTGTGTGTGTGTGTGTGTGTGCATGTGTATTTTGGGTATAAGACCTGGGGTTCTGTCTGTTAGGCAAGTGCACTACTACCAAGCTATATTTCCAGCTCCAGGCTTCTTTCTTTCTTTTAGAGAAATGTATGTATGTATTATATTATTATTATTATTGAATATGTGTGAATGATGTACATGCATGGGTGCCCATGCCACACATGCATGTGGAGGTCAGAGAACAACTTTGTGAAGTCAATTCTATCCATCCATCTTTATGTGAATATCAGGGATCAAACTTAGGTCATCAAGCTTGCATAGTAAATGCCTTTAGTGGCGGAGCTCTCTTACCACTCCCTCTTTCCTAGGCTTATTTCTTAACTAAAGAATTGTATTGGAGCTGGAGAGACAGCTCAGCAGTTAAGAGCATGTGTTTTGCTCTTGCAGATGACCCAAATTTGGTTCCCAGAACCCATATTGGGTGGCTCACAAATGCCAGTAACTCCAGCTCCAGAGGATCTTATGTTCTCTTCTGGCCTCCACAGACACCTGCATTCATATGCATATATCTACATACACATAATATCATAATTAAAAATAAAATCTTAAAAATTTTTGCTATTTTTATTTTTTGTGTGAGTGTATTGCCTGCATGTATGCAAGTGCACTTGTGTCGTGCACTGCCTGAGGAGGTCAGAAGAGGGCGTCAGATCCCCTGGAAGTGGAGTTATGGATGGTTGTTAGCCCCCACAAATAAAATCTGTAAAAAAAAAGAAATCTAGAGACTGAAGAGATTGCTCAGTGTTAAGAGCACTGGCTGCTCTTGCAGAGGACCTGGGTTCAGTTCATAGCACCGACACAGTGGCTAACAACCACGACACAAATGAACTTTACATATAAAATAAAAGTTACAAAAATATTTTAAAAAAGAAATCTATTGAACTCCAGGTACTGGTCTTCTCCCCCTTCCTACCTCTTCTATTACTTGTAATTGTTTGCTTATATTTTTAGTGACTGCCTGGAATATTTTAGTGAAATCTTTTTCCCCTAGTGATGGCTAATCTTCCCCTTCAACTTGTCTAGACTGGAAAGGTATCTCTGGGTATGTTTATAAGACTGTTTCCAGAAAAAGTTAACTGAGGAGGGAAGACCCACCCTGGATGTGGGTAGTACCATTTCCGTGGGCTACAGTTGTGGACTAAATCCAAGGGAAAGAGCTGCGCACCAGCATTCATCTTCTACTTCCTGACTGCAGATGCCATGTGACCAAGTGCTTCACGCTTCTGCCACCACAATTTCTCCACCACGACAGACGATTCCCCTAAACTATGAACCGAAACAAATCCTTCCTTCCTTGAGTTGCTTTTGCCAGGCATTTCTGTCATAGCAACCAGCAAAGTAACTAGCACACCGCTATTCAGTTCGAAGCCTCCAGTGCTGGTCCTCAGGGATGCAGATTTGGATATGGATCATGTTCAACCTAGAATGATAGTGGTTTTTCCCTGACCACATGTGGCTGTTAAATTCCTACTAATTTCAGGCTGATTGCTCTAGTGTCTTCAGCACTGCACTGGGTCATTATTTTTCAGTGAATTTTTGGGTCTCCTTTGCATGGACAGGTCTTGAAGTTGTGTTTGAGACTGGCTCTGAATTCAGGGGGGCTCCTCCCAGCTGTCTCCATGCCTCTCTTCTGAGAAGTAGTCAGGAAGCATTTTAGCCTGTATTTCTGCAATCAATCTACCAATTACTGCCCAACTGCTTTTTACCATACTTGGACTGGTTTTAAGAATTAAAAATTAGAATACATAACTTGCCGTTCTCCTGAATTCATACTTTTAAGCTTTAACTTCTCCATCCTCTGCTGTAAATGAAGTCAATTCTTTGGGGAGAGATTAAGCTGTTTTATGGCCTGGTTATCTCTCAAGGCAAAAGTTCCAATCCCTAAGTTTGGAGACAATGGTGCCTTTCTGTCTGGTACCCTGCTTTAGGAGTCTCACTGTAGGTGGAGGGCAGTAGCCTTAGGGTCTTCTCTACTTGCCTCTCCCAAACCACCACTTTATAAGTTAAGGCAAGAATGATAATGGCCAAAGTATTCAGTGGGTAGCACGCAAGGTGAAACTTACATCCAAAGACTAGGGCTTGGGTAGAAGTATTCTTTTTCCTTTTTCTCTTCACTCACCTGGAACGCAGGCTCAGGAAAAGGTAGCCAGAGGCAGGATTAGAAGTACTGATGCCCTGTTCCTCCTGAGAAGATATCTCAGGCAGCTGTGGGGAGAGGTGTCCCCTATGCTCTTGGTGGCACTAGTCTGCAGTAGTGTTCTGTCTAACTGAGTAGGGAGTGGAAAAAGGAGTTTGGATTCATAGACTTGCTATATTCACTGAATTTGAGGATTTCCTTGAACAGGTTTTTTTTTCTTTTTTTTAAAATTCTTTGTATAATTAATCTTAGACATTTAATGGCTGTTCTTTCTTTGTTAAATACTATTCACCAATTTTGCTGAGTGGGTTTGCTAAGCTCCTTGCTGTCATTTAGAAATCAATCTCTCAGCGCCATTTATTTTCATTTCTTTAACCTCATTTAAGGTTCCTTGTTTGTAATTTGTTTTTATAAACATGAATGCATCCTGTAAGCTTCCTCAAGTACTTTTAGAATAAAAACAATAAATGAAATTTAAATATGGCACCTTAATGAGATCTGCCTCTCACTTGTCAAGAATCTTTCAAGTTGTTGTAAACCACAAATAATAAACAACATTTTCGCTAACTTTTCCTGGGGAAAATTAGAACACATAACTTGCCATTCTCCTGCATTCATACTTTTAAGGAGGTCTTAGATAGAGATTTACCTTTTTGTCATTTTGGCGGCTTGCTAGGGTGGCATTCCTTTCCCCCTTTGTTTTCAGATACTTCTTGGCTTTTATCTAGGCAAGATAATATTTTATTCATATTTAATCACTATAACAAGATATAAAACTATTTTGAGACTCATTTCCTTCAAGGTGCAGCACTACCTTCTCCTACTGCACAAAAGAAACCCAAGACGTTATGAAAGAATAGTTGGGGCTTTGGAAACATCTACCAACCCCCCAGGATCAGGTATGCATTACTCCATATTTGGGTAATAAAATTTCATAATTCTTGCCTAATAAGTTCAAAGCTCTGGATTTAGTCCCCAGCACACATATGTGCAAACTCAGTATTACTTTGGCTCCATGACTGCTCTGTGCTCCTCATTCTTCCGTTTCAACGGGCTGTCCATTACAGTTTCCCCTTTTTTCTTCCATTATTGTAGGTTTGCATTAGAGGGGCAGATATTTGCCTTACTTTATAGGTTCTGGGTCAAGAGATATCTCCAGGCCTGAAATGGGCCACGATGAGAACTAAAAACCATACCTGGATGAAACTTTTTGGGTGTTTGGGGCAGGAAGTGAATAACTGTGACCCAGAAGGTGAACTGTGGAATACTGGGTTGTGTCCAAATAGCTTCTCCTCTAGAGTAAGACTATGCATCCCTAGTCTGCCATGTAATGCTGTGGAACCTCCCATGATAGGTGGAGTATACTTCTCCATTCTGTTTATGTTGAGCCTGGTTATGTGACTTACTGTGGCTAATGATGTCTGTGACGATGGTTGTGGTGGTTTGAATAAGAAATGGCCCCATAAGCTTAAGTATTTGAACACTTTGTTCCCAGGTGGTGGTGCTGTTTGGGAGGCTATAGTATCTTTAGGAGGTGTAGCCTTCTTGGAGGAAGTGTGTCACTTTTGACAGTTCATAGGCTGGTCTCACTTCCAGTTTGCTCCCTCTGCTTGGTGTTTGGGATTGAAGATGAGATCTTTTAGCTTTTGGCTATTATTGTTACGCCTGCTGCTTGTTGCCATGCCTCCCCACCACGACGAACTCTTATCGCTCTGGAATCGTAAACCAAACAAACTCTTCCTTCTATAAGTTGCTTCGGTTGTGGTGTTTTATCACAGCAACAGAAAAATATCAGATACAATGGTATATGATGCGGCTGTAATAATGATATATGGTTGCCTGGAAGAAATGTAGCTGTCAGTAGACTTATATTATGTCACTGGCCCTCTTACATTTGGGATTTCTACCATTGGATTTTACCTTGGGTAATTTCTGGTTGAAGGAAATGAGAAACATGCAAAATAGAACTGAACTAAATCTGAAGCCTGCGACCAACACCATATGACCCTTACCAAAGTCCAGCGGAGGCAATCTTCAGACCCCATGAGTGAGAAAAATAGAGGTTCATTGTAAATGACTGAGGTTTTGAAGCTGTTTGTCACACAGTGAAAAGGAGCTTATCCTCACTTAACCTTAAATATCACTTCTTTATTTGGTAAGCCCATCCAAAGTGAGGTCTCCAAGTAAACTCCTTATCCCAGTCTTGCTTTAACTGCCTCTGTAGGCACTTATCATCACCTATTACATATACTTTACTTATCTTGCTACTGTGTCACTGTCCCAACCAGAATGTGAGACAACAAAGGGAAAGATGTTTGCTCTCAGTTTTTCACGGCTCTGTCCCCAGCATCTAAGCAGTGCCTGATAGTTTGAGCCCATTGTAGAGTAGAATGATGGTGCAGCTAAGCAAACAAACACTGGGCTAGTGATCAGGGCAGGTGTGTTAGCTTACCACCTCTGTCACTAACACGTGGTGCGATTTTTGAGATGCAATTTCAGATCCCTGGATCTTATCAGTCTCAACTGTAAAGTGAGGGTGTTAGAATAAAAATTCTCTGATTTAAAGATATGTACATAATCAAAATAAACAGTTATTGCTACACGATAATGATACAAGCACAAACCCTTCACTGGATTGTAACAAGCAGCAGTGTACCTACTTAACATAACCATACCAAAGTGACACGTTTCGATCAGACCTGAGAGGTTAACTTGAGAAGGTTAAGTCTGAGGGTTGTTGGACTCTGAACTGTCGGAACCTCGGCTACTAAAAAAGAAAACAATAATTGTAGCTTGCAGAGTTTTGGGTGCATTTTCAACTGTAGATTTTACTTTATCATTTTTTTGAGTGTACAATTCTAATTACAATTCTAATTCTAAAAGGAATAGTATTTACAAAGGTTATTTGGTGGTTCTAGACAACTTAGTATTTTTATTTTATGAATATCTAGAAGATACAAAAGTTTTGGAACATGTTGCTAGAGTGTAAACTCCATGAAAGTAGGACTTATTTTTTCTATCTGGTTCATTGATATGCCATTAGGGTAAAAATAGTACCTTATACACCGTGTGACTCAATATTCTGTTATTAAGCAAACAAGTGACAGATATGGGGAGTTTCCTAGCTCTCATGGCCATTGCTAGCTCTTAAAATCTATTTTCGCACAACCGTTTTCATTTTGCTTAAATATATTTCAGGGCCATCCAAAGTGTAGAATTTCAGGAAAAAGGTCAAACGTAAACCTATTTATAATCATTTAATGGTAGGTAAACTTTGAGGGGCAACTCATGGAAGGAACTATTTCTGAGTTATATCATTTTTAATGAATATATTTTACTTTTTAGGGGTAGTTACAGGTTTTAGGTTTACAGAAATACAAAGTAGATAGTTTGCAGTTGCGTCCTGCATAATTTTCTCTGCTATTAACTTCTTATGCCATATGGCACATTTGTCACAACTGGTAGTAAATTTATAATTTACTAGAGTTTACTTCACACATGTTTATAAGTTTTGACACAAAATTGATAAAGACATGTATCTTTCACTACTTCGTATCAAAAACAGTAGTTTCATTGCCCCAAAATTAATCTGTGCTTTGACTACCCACCATCCCCTCTCCTGGAGACTCTGGTCAACTATTGAGCTTTTCGCTCTTTTCTGTAGTTTAGCTCAGGTCATGCAGTTGGGATCATAAAATACATAGCCTCTTCTGACTTACTTCTTTCATTATCAATACTGTTAGTCACTAAGTGAAGCAGGAAGGTAACTTTAGAGACCAACTCCTATATTAATATGGCTCTGAGGTGTCATTTCCTTTATTTCTGCTAGTACTTTTTGAATAAAACTGGGCATGCTCAGAGACATTCCTGTCTACCATCTTTATCAAGAAACTGAACATATCTGTTATCATTATAATGCAAACTGAGCATGCCTGAAAGAGTTTTTGCTTGCCATTTTAACTTTTCCAAATCTGCTCCATGACCCCGAGCCATGCATACCTCAAAAAGGGTCTACCATCTTTCTTTTCATAAAGTATGACTTTAAACTGAGCATGACCAGGAATGCGCTCCTTAATTGAGCATGCTCAGGGAAATGCCCACTCCTAACGGTGCTTTCTTGTATGAATATGTATAGTCTCTCTAAGTAAAATTCCTATACTTCCTTTGAGGAGAGCATTGTATTGAGCTCTCCTTAGTTGCTCAGGCAAAAATTCTTACTCCATTCTTATTTCTTGGTTATGCTTGGTTTGGCTTTGAACTCATCAAGATGAGAATTCACCGCACATGGTTACAATATGAACTTAAGGTTCTGCTATACTGTTTCATGGTTCGGCAGCTCATTTATTTTTATTGTTAAATAATACTCCATTGTATGGATATACTGGTTTGTTTATCCATTCATCTGCTGGAGGACATCTGGTTGTGTCCTGTTTTGTCATTATTTAAGCTACAAAAACATTTGTGTGCATATTTTTAAAATGCTTTTTAAAACTTAAATTTTATTTTATGTGTGTGAGTGTTTTGCCTGCATAAGTGCACTCATGCATGCAATGTCAGAACATGCCAGAGGAGGGCATTGGATTCCCTGGAACTGGAGTTACTGATGGTTGTTAGCTGCTATGTGGGTAAACCAGGTCCTCTGCAAGAGCATCCAGTGCTCTTAACCACAGAGCCATCTCTCTCCAGCTTCCTGTGTACATATTTTTGTGTGAACATATTTTCAATTCATTTGGGTGAAAACTTAAAAACCACAGATGTGGTGGGGTGGAGTGGCTTCATGCCCCCTGCAACGGAAGCTGAAACATCCACAGAGGAATTGCCAATATGACTGTGTTTTCCATGTGGTATGGGATGGTGTGCTTCCTTGTAGTGGCAGTTATGTGAGTGATAAGATGCGATGAAGGCTGAGACATCTGAGAGCAGAGCAATCCAAGAGTGGGCATTTTCTTCTACATGGTATGGGGCAATATATCTCCTTGATTCGCCACACAAGTACAGGGAGGTACAGGGATAACACCCCTCCCCCATTTGGCTGAGGGCCTAGAGAAAATATTGCAGTCTCCCAAAGTAGCATGCATGGGATAGGACTGTGAACAGGCTGAGGCATCAGGTGCATGGCCTTTGCTGGGTGGCAATGCTTGCAACTAAGGCTGACTTGTCCGCCCAGAAAGAACTTGCTCACCTGTGAGGCAGTACAAGGAAAAGATATGGGGAGTGTTATCTTCCATATCAGCCTCTGATTTGACAGGAAAAGTGGAAAATAAGGAGAGAGCGAGGTGGAACTGAAAGATACAAGACCTCTCCCCATCTACCTTTAATATCGAGGAAGGGAAAATACGATTCGGCATGAAGATGGGGACCTTAATAACGGCTAGGACAGGAAACTATGATAATTAGGGAACATTCTACACCCGTGTAAATAATTTGTTAAACAAATATGATGCAGCTGCTCCATTGCCTTCTAACCAGTTGTATTTATATACACAAATTACTGTTGCTCTGTCATGGAGGGAAACATTTTTGCAGTGAGCAGTGATTATGTGGAGACTCCCAACTGGCTAAATTGTTGAGAATAAGTAACTGTTGCTGTAGGAGAGTGATCTGATGCTTAGCCGTAAATGGAAGAAAATAATCACACACATATGACTCCCTTCAAAGCCCAGAAAACATCACAGTAGAAAGAATGTAAGAGACAGAGGAAGGGGTGGAGTGCTGTGTAGCTCTTTTCTCTGAACTGAAACATTCTCTCCTAGGAGGAAGATTCTAAGACTCAGTAAGCTCATGAAACTCAAGAAGCTCAGAGAGTTACAAAATTGATCATCAGGCCCCTACTCAAGTAAACAATGCGGAGGAGGAGACCGCCAAGCCAGACTTAGGTGGGATTGTTCCATTGGTCTGTCGCTGATGGCCTCTCTGGGGTGAGCAGATGCTCATATCTCTCCAGGAAGAGTTATACATCACAATTCCACCAAAGGAGAGAGTCCTGTTTTTCCACAGTTTTGCTTGTACTTGGTATTGGCATCAATGAAATTCTAAAGTGTACGTCATGGTATCTCATTGTTCTAATTTGCAATTTCCTAATGACAAATGATGTTAATTTTCATTAGTTTCTAAGTTTATCCTTTGTTTTATTTAGGAAATATTAAAGAATAACTATGTATTCTCATATCCTTGTTCCATATATAAAAGATAACATGGGGCTGGAGAGCTGGCTCAGAAGTTAAGAGCACTTGTTTCTCTTGCAGAGGATGCAGGCTCAGTTCCCAGCACCCACACAGCATCTAACAGCTATCTGTAACTCCAATTTTAGGGGATCCAGCTCCCTATTCTGCCTCTGCAAGGCACTACATGCAGAAAGCGTACTTACATGCAGGTAAAACACTCATACACATAAAATAAAAATAAAATATTGAGAAATAATATAAAAAGATAGCATTCTACTTATATAAAGCTTCTGTACCTTGATTTTTCATTTATGAAATTGTATAAATTGTTATAGGCTATAATGATATACATATTTTCCTTATTTCTGCATGATACTCCATAGTGATAGCACATTATAAAGTACTGTATTCATTTGTTGATGGGGCATTTGAAAATCCCCTCCTTTTAATGGCAATGCTAAATCAGGATAATAGATAGAAGTAAGGTCAAGTATAGTAATAGTAAAGTTTTATAATTCGGTACTAAAAATACTATACAAATAATGTTTTATCATATGTTGTCTCTATAGAACAGATATTTGTTTTTGAGACAGAATCTCACTATGTAGCCTAGGTTGTCCTGGAACCTCACAATCCTCCTATTTCAGTTCCTGAGTTCTGAGTTAATAGATGTGTACCATCATGCTCAATTAGTATTTCTTTTCAAAGACTTTTGAGACTCTGAGAATTGAGAAATTAGTTTGCTTTCCTAGAACTGATATGCTTGTCTTTAGGCATCTGCAGAGTTATTCCATTGGTATCTTCCCTTTTGGAAAGTGCATTAACGCCTGGCACACAAAGCTTCCTTCTTCCACAAGCAGCAGCACTCGGAGTACTACTTAAGCACAATCTGTTCTTTTGAAAGGAACATGAAAATTCCTACCAAATATTTGAGGAACTCAGTCTGCAGGAGCATGTGGAAGAAAAGCTGGATCTGGTGCTTAGGAAAGCAGCACCATGCTAATAGTAATGGTGAGGATGTGTGACGAGAACACAGTAAGAGCCAACACTGAGAAGAGTTAATGGAGAAACACTGTGTGCGTGCCGTTGAAAGAGTTTAGTGAAAACTGTGTAACCATCCACCCATGGGACTTGTGAATGTAATTCCTAAACCATGAGAAATACAGAATTAAACTGTTAAATTTTAACAGTTACTATCTAATTTGACAAATATCTTAAGAAGATAAAAGATTTCTAGGTGTCAGAGGGTTGTTTCAGCAGTTAAAAGTACTTCCTGCTCTTCCACAGAACTTGAATTTGGTCCCCAGCACCCATGTCGGGTGGCTCACAACAGTCTCTAATTCCAGCCCAAGGGGATCCAACACCTTCTAGCCTTTGAAGGTACCCACATACACACACAGACACATACACATAAATTTTAAAAGTGATTTCTAGCAGGAAAATGACATAAAGGATAAAATATTCAATATATCTGATTTTTAGAATATATTAAATGGAAAATTGTATTCTAATAAAGAAATTAGAAGCAGAATTACCAACATAGCCTTCCTTACTGTCCATGTCATAAAACCAAGACTGAACTTTTCAAGACAAGAGTATATCA